CACTAAATCCATCTTGTAGAGCCCTCTTCCCCTACCAGTGCCTGTAGTAAATGGGGAAGAGTCTTCAACAGCGATTGGCATGTGGCATTCGCGTAATGTCTTTAACAGCACGCGAACCATCCTATTGTGCAGGAAGGTTGAGGCGCCGGTCTTCGCGCAGACCAGGGAATGGGGTCGGCTCAACCGTTCCATACACGGTGACAATGCACCTGCGCTGCAAAGTCTGCCTGTATCGTAGTCAGTTCGGTCGTGACTCCCCAGTACACGACCGATCGATTCTCGATAAAGGTCAGGTAGCATCCGTTCATCCATCGAAAGCCCCTGCGTTGTCAGCCATGATAGAACCCCCTTGTCTTTTGCTTCCTCCAAGCGAATCAAGGCTCTCTTCTTTGAGGTTTCCTGGGATCCTGCTTTTTTCAAGCCTGTTACTACCATATGGCGGACTGCTGCATGAAGGGGCTTCGACAGGACGGCTTGAGCTCCGAAGACTTGATAGTACCGGCCAAATTCATTTCGCCCGCATGTCGACGGAGATGGTGGTTCCTCGTCAGGGTTGTCGTCTCCATTTTGTCTCTCGGCTACTACCTTCCCGGCCTCCATGAGATAAACCCCTCGAAGAGTGGGAGTTAAATCGTCAGATGTAACAAGTTTAGTCCATGACTGACCAACAGCTCTTTCGAGCTTGTCTTTGATGATGATCTCTTTTAGTTTCTTGAGGGAGTCAATCAGAGCTAATCCTGTTGGTAGCTGTGCAAGTTGCGGTAGGCATTGTTCAATGGTGAGTCATGTTGATGAATGCACTGACTTGGAGAACACTAATGCTTGCCCTGCCCCAAAACCGATTCTCGAATGAGAACACTGCTCGTATTTCCAAGCCCCCCTTCACGTATGGGCAGGTGCGTCTGTGCCCGAGATGTGTGTCTACGTGAAAGAACATGTGGAGAGAGTCGTATTGGCATTCGCATCAAGCGCATTGCGCATTTTTCGAATGTTGGCCCCCTTCCAGGGACCTTGATTTTTACCCGCTGGCACTGACGTCTTTTAATTGGTCAGCCGGTTAGCGCGGTCGATGCTAATGATAAAAACACACACACACACATCAAAACACACACAGCTCTGACACGATGACTGTTGGATCTTGGGAGTGTACGATCATCAAATTGGGAGATGCAGCATACCACGATATCCTGGCTTCGGCTGGGCTTGAAATAACCCTTTTGCTGTCCTCCGCTCTTTGCATCAGTGGCTTCCTAGGTTCGGACGAGGGCATGTGTGGAGCTATGGCCGTGTATGTGTTGCTATTTTGTTTGAGTAATCTAGCTGCTGACACGATGACTGTTGGATCTTGGGAGTGTACGATTATCAAATTGGGAGATGCAGCATACCACGATATCCTGGCTTCGGCTGGGCTTGAAATAACCATTTTGCTGTCCTCCGCTCTTTGCATCAGTGGGTTCCTAGGTTTGGGCGAGGGCATGTGTGGAGCTATGGCGGTGTACGTGTTGCTATTTTGTTTGAGTAATCTAGCTGCTGACACGATGACTGTTGGATCTTGGGAGTGTACGATTATCAAATTGGGAGATGCAGCATACCACGATATCCTGGCTTCGGCTGGGCTTGAAATAACCCTTTTGCTGTCCTCCGCTCTTTACATCAGTGGTTCGGGCGAGGGCATGTGTGGAGCTATGGCAGTTTATATGTTGCTACTTTGTTTGAGTCACCTCGCTGCCGACACTTGGGAGTGCACGATTATCAAAATGGGAGATGAAATGTGTGTCTACGTGAAAGGACATGTAGAGAGAGTCGTATTGGTATTCGCACCTAGCGCATTGCGCATTTTTCGAATTTTGGCCCCCTTCCAGGGACCTCGATTTTTACCCGCTGGCACTGACGTATTTTTAATTGGTTAGCCGGTTAGCACGGTCGATGCTTATAATAAAAACACATCCGTCACACTCATGTAGTAGGTAATCGGGGCCCACGATAGTCTGGACGTGTTACCACAGCAGTAGGAATCGAGCTTGGAATACCACATTCCGTTCGACTGTGGGTATATCTCGAATGGGTAGTCTTTCTGTGCGTGTAGTTATTTTTCCTTGATTAATATCCAAAATACAAAGGTGGGTGGTATCCCATACCATGTGAGACACGCGGACGGTACCCACCCTGCTGGACGAATGCGGAGAAAAGTTGGTGTCCTGCACGGTATTTTTGGGGTGCGTCCACGGTCCGACGACGTTTGCTTAGACTTCCCGACCCACAGAGCACGATCATCGGCTGCTGCACACACCAGCACTTAACACGCTTGTCTCTCACCAGATTATGTTCATGCCAATAGGCCCATGTGTTGCCTGATCCCTCGGCGGCGTCAAGTCCCTGGAACGCTGGGCATGTCCACATGCCAAAAATCATGACTACCGGCTTCCCCGCTCCTGCTGCCAACACCTCGCCAAGATTCCATCGGTTACCATCCAGGTCGTGCAACGTGAAGTCCACCGCCGGAGACCCGAGGTCACGGACGAGGTGGGGGCTAGTCCCATAGATGTCCCTGATGGAATTTCCCTTGTGAAAATTTTCCTCGGGAAAGTTGTAGCAATTTGTGATCAGTTCGGTCTCAGGTAAGAGATCCGGGGTCAAAAGACCCGATGACACGGCTATCCCGCAGCAGCAAAGCGCTGCTGCTCTTCTGGCTGAGCAATGCATGGCTTTGAAGGTGCTCTCTCGGCACCCTGCGCCACCCTGCGGCTGGCAACTGGTGTGGAGTACCGTGTAATGTACCGTGACCGGAGAGATGGGGGTTTATGACAACAGAGTGGGCGTTTTTCTGAAACGGCTGCAGTTTTTCACGAAGGTTACAGCAGTTCGTCTCTACTCGCAACCTTAACCTTCTTGAGCCGCCTTGCCTACCTGACTCAAGAGAAGGGTCAAGCAAGAGTCGATTTCAAACGACCAAAAGGGATATCCTCTTCGGTACATGCGCTCAGTTTTTTCAACACGAAAAAATCACGATGAAGAGCTTGTACTACGTAGCTACTTGTCACATGTCACACCAACGGTACAGCGAGACCATCCATGTAGGTAGACTACACTCCTTTGAACCCTTTCATTCTTTCAACATTCCGTACACTTCGAGGCCCTACTTCTCCTTGGTTTCTTTTCTTAAATTCTGTTCTTCTCTCTCGGCAAAAGCAGCAGATCTCTTCTCCTTGAACCCTTTCAGACGTTCCGTTTCCAGCGTTTCACCTTGGTCAATTCTGAACCCCTTCCACACGTCATCTACCACCTTGACCCACTCCATGGGATGCTCCCCTCTTTTTGTTTGCCCGCTTCGCCTCCCAGGCTATTCTCGGCAACCTCTCCTTTCCCATACCGCACATGGGATACTGCCATATCAGCTTCCTTGTGTCTCTTGCCGATCGTAGGGATCGGATCCCCAGTTCTGTCCTGACGGCTGCATTTTACTTGTGCGCTTGGAGCATCCTAGAATGACTCGCTGCTTTCATCTGCGCCGCCTCGAGCTTGTTGACTACCTTCTTATTTCCTTTCCATACTTCTCCAGCGTACTCTAGTGGCGGTACGATTACGCTCTTCGAAACTGTCAATGTTGATGCGTGTATCGAGGTGCCGGTTTGCGAGTATTGGGTGCAGCTTCCGTGCTCGTGCTTTGCCCTTTTCCGCTACTTGGACATGTGTGCATTCCACGAGCAGTCTTTTGCGATCTCTCCTCCGAGATTTGTGTACTGATCCACCACTGCAATCTCCTCGATCCCCCGCTTCTATCTATACTGTACTGTTGCCCCCCTGTCCTCGTTGCATACCATGACGGCACTCTTCTTACAATCTCCACTTAACAGAAACATCCTTCGCTGCGTCAATCTGCTTTGGCAGTCCCTCAAGGGTGTCAGACATTCCATCAAAATCATCCGCAAACAGCATTCCCGACACCCCAAGTTTCCCCTATCTTTACCCCTTTCCAACTATCCTTCCGGCTTTCAACAGATCGTTGATGAACACCTGGAACAGTGTTGGGGACAACGTGCAACCTTGTAGGACCCCCTGTCCAATGTTGAAGAATTTAGACCGTTCTCCGTCTAGCAGCGCTTTTCGTACACTCTGTCATCTTCTTCAGCACTCTCCACGTTTCCCCCTTTATCTCACAATTCGGACAAATGTTTCCACAGCCCATTTCTCCATACCGTATCGAATGGCTTTTGCACGTTCAGGAGGAAGCAGTACGTCGGCTTCCCCGCCCTCTTTCTACCTTGGATGATTCTCCCAACCGTAAATACGTGGTTCACGCACCCCCTCTCGATATGAAACCTGCCTGGCCCCAACTTATCATTCCTTCATCCCAGATGCATTTTTTTTTCTTCTTTACTAACCCCTTCACCCGTTTCTCTTGGCCCTGTACTTTTCCCTACTCCCCTCGGACCCCTCACTCAGATATTGCCTGAAGACTTCTCTACGTTCCCCTGCTTCTTATTTGAACTCGTCATCTCACCGCTTAACCGATACCCCACATCGTACCACCTTGTAATATGTTCCCGGTGGGGGACATTTTAACTTCCCCGGGGTTTCGACGTTTTTCGCTCGTTTTTGTTTTGATGTATTATGGTGTAATGTTCAGCAGTAGTACTGCTTACAGTACTGTAACTGTACGGTACTGCTGTAGAGGAGACTTTTCATGGGATGTCACCAAATAACCAATAGGAAGACTTCTACGGGTGTACGGACGAGGTGCTGCGGGGAACGGAGAGGTTCATCATCTACGGACATGGACGAAGAGTTGACTGGTCGAAAACGTGCGTGCGTGTAAAAGGGGCAGCAGCAGAGGACTCAAAACACGACAACGGACAAACACCTACGACACCGGGGGAGGGGGGCACACCGGTGCTGTAGCGCCGAAAATGCGAGAAAAAAAACTGCAACTGCAGAGAACCGCATCCAGACAAAACTGCCTTCCAACGGAATACTAAGATTCCACGCACAAAGAATTAAGAAGCAAACGGGTTACCCGGGTGGATTACACCATTTCAGGGTACACTTGAAATCAACACGACATCGACAGCCTCCGCCGTAGATCGCGGCGAATCCATTAAACCGCTGTGTCCTGTGTCCTGTACCCCGGAAGCATGATGCATGAGGCAGGTCTGGCCCGTTTTGTCGCTCTCTCTCTGACCTCTCTGTTTACTTTTACTGGTCAGCACCACACCGAACGAACTCGCGCGTCAAGCGAGTCCGACCATCTGTCGAGAGGGGCCGATATCCAATGTAGGCGGTGCCCATCAACGAGCGAGCGTTGTTGATGGTTTGGTTGTGGGTATGAATGTGCGGTAGGCGGTATGTGCGGTACACGTTTTTTTCTGCGGGTTTTATGCTCGAGTCGTCGGGCGCCGGAATCATATGATGACCTTTTCTGGGTACAAAATCGACCCCCCGGGTAAAATAGGAACCAGTATCGGTTACACTATTAGAGAGTCGAGATGCCAGCGCCGGTTGTACCCGATGGAAGTTTCTCCAAAATTGGGTACAGTGGTGTTTCGGCCAATCAGCTGGCTGCCTCGGGGGTGTTTATATGTTGAGTTCTATTTGTACCCTTAAATGGTAACAAACCACCCGGGCATACCCGTTTCTGGTTATTGGTCAAATCAAAAGGTCATCTGTATTGAGTTACTACCAATCAGTACTTCTCCCGATTAATTCCTTTGCTCACCGTGCCCGACGACGTTACGGTGGTATTGGCCTTTCTAGGCAACCGGACGTCTACCTACGACTTGTACAAAAATCGGCCCATGAAGGACCTAGACTAACTTACTAGGTCCATCCTCGTGTTCATCTTCGATGTGTCCCTCATCGATGCCACTGAAAGCCAACTGGATTATGCTGCCCTCGTTGGTGCCGGCGAACAATAGGGGCTTCCCCAAAGTGTCTTGGGTGCACGCAACGCAGTTGAAAAGTGACTCATCCTGAGAACGAAACTCGGAGATGAGCCTGTTGCGAGGGTAAGGGGTTCCGGGCGATGAACGAGGAGGAGTTAAGAGGAAAGGTCATTTTATTGAGTTATGATGTATGTATGCGGTCTGGACGGCACAGATTGACACACAAGCATGAACCCCTCAATCAAGCTCTTTGCGCCAGGCAGTTATCGGGTTCCCAACCTTGGAGAGTGTCCTCTGTATACCTCGCGAGACTAACCTACAGCATTATGTACGTGGAAGAGCTATAAGTGCATCTCTGAACCGGTTGACACCTACACACCAATCAAGCTGTTGGCCGTTCCAAACCCTAACCCTACCTTCCGCAGGTACCGTCATCTTCCACATGCGTGTAATCCCATATTTTAACGATCCCCTCTGCTTTTCCGCAAGTCGCGATCAACCCTCCCTCCTCCTGTGATTCTCGTCCTGCGTAAACGACGTCAGCACGGCTGTTTCGCTCGCTGGTCATGACGGCCATGCCAGAAACTCCGTTCGGATGCGCCTTGAAAGCCCCCACTATCATAGCTTCCGGTCGTCCCATTTCACCCCGATGTCTGCTATTGTCTCCAAGACTGACGTTGTCGTCTGTGTGTAGTAACATAGGACGCACGAGTCGCGCCTCAGATGTAAAGTTGTTCAACCTATTCAGCAGGAGTTCATTGAAACCTCAAGAGCCCGATCGACAAAGATAAAGGAACGGGATTCGTCCAAGAATCAAACCGAAGCCGCCAACAAATTTCCAACACACCTTCGTGCTCAAGATTGGAGACATTCCATACTCGAACGGCCCCATCACAGCTTCCACTAAAAAGGAAAAGTCCGTCAGAAACTAGCGCTTCGACGGAGTCCTCGTGGCCCTGTACGGGAGAAGTACAGCCGAGGGCGAACGTGTCAGAGTACGTGATGTCAAAGGACCCATTGCAACGACAAATTCTGCTATTCAAACTACGCCCGAATGGTGGTTCAGTATCACCACGAGCGTGTCGCACGTAATCAGGTCAGTGCTCACCTCTAGCACCAGCAGTAAGATGCACGTACGCTCCCGGAGGCGCCAGCATCGCACAACGCGATCATTGCCCGCGCTGGCCAACACCGGCACATCTGAAGCAACGAAAGCCAAACAAAGGATTTCGCCGTCCAATCCGTCCAAGACGCCATGAGCGTCACGAACGCAATACTCTACCGTCGGCACCTGTTCATGGAGGGTGGTACATAGAGGCTTGGAAAGAGAACAAACAAGACCCAGGGGTTGGTCAACACTACTTGGTGCTTGGATCACAGAGGATGCATGGTCGGGGCATTGTGCGACAGGTGTTACGCAAGCGCACGGGAAACGGGCGCACGAGAAACACGCGAACAAATGCCGTCAAAGCGATAACTTTGCGACCTGCGCTTCCTCACTCGATCTTTCTTCAAGCCATCCTTCGCGTGCGCTCTCCAAATGATGATCGCGCCTTCAAAGCCCGCACTGGCAAGCACCAACGACCCCAGTTGATCCCTATACGCCGCGAGAGCACTGACGGTATTGTCGTGAGCTTTAAATGATTCTCCCGCTCCTGTGTCTAGCTGCCAGAACCTCACGCTTCCGTCGTCCGTTCCTGATAAAGGAACGCCATCAACCGAATGCACTACAGCTTGAGGCAGTGAAAAGCAGCTCTCACCACCCACCATGAAAATAGTTATTGGGCGTCTCAACAACACCGTTGTGGCGTCTGTTGTCCCTACGCTGTTTGCTTCTCTGACGGACTACTGTACACCCGCATTGTGGGACGATTCTCCGTCTGACAAAGCAATGTGTACCTTCGAAGAAACCCCCCGCTATTTGGAATCTTTGGCGCGGGAACAATGACGCTCGTGCGAATGTATTGGTGTCAGTGTATCAGTGTAGTCACACTACCCAGCGCGTTCCTATCATACCTGTGACTAAGACAGACCCTCCCGGTAGTACGAGCATGCTTGTCACCTCTGCGCCTCCTGAATGCCGCATGCAGTACTTCTCGCTCTTTCCGAGCGTCTCCCATGCCCTGATGACACCGTTCAAGCTTGCCGACAGGACCACCAACCCAAAGCCGGCCTCCCCCTCTTGCCCTTCTTCCTCCTCCTGTTCCCCCTCCTCCTCCTCTTTCGTGTCTTCCTCTGATGCTTCTCTGTCGCTGTTGTGGATCTCTGCTACCCCGCCCACACTACCATGACTACCGCGTTGGTCTGTCGGTCGTTTGTCGTCGCCGTCGCATTCTAGTCCTGTTCCTTCGAGCTCGTTGCAAGTCGTCCTCACCACGCCAATGCAGCTGCCCTTACTCTCGTCGACATGGTTTTTTTCGCTTCTGTCTTCAAGCGTTTGCATATTCCCAGCCCGACCAGCGATATCGATCCCGCCATCATTGGAGGGGGCGTTTCGTCGACTGGGATAGGCCGATACCCCCTGGAAGCCCAGGCCTAGTATACTGTCGTCATGGCGCCCAATTAAGACACTGCTATGGGCTTTGACCTGATTTAACGGCCAATCAGGATAGGATTGTAAGACTAATCATCTATTCTTCGGTAGAGGAAACATATTGCTTGCAAGTTCAGGAGTAGTCAAGATCACTTGTCTCACTTCTGCATCCACGTGTGAGAGGCTTGCGTTCTAACTGTTAGGGTACACACAACGAAGGCCATGCTCGATGACGAATCCCTCCCCCGCCCTCCCCGCGAATAACTTCGATGTTTAGGAAGATACTTGTAGGAAGTTTTCGAGACCCAAATGCGTAAGTGACACGACGCGTAGGTATCTACTGCGGGTCTAGAGAGGATGGCGAATCGTCTGCTCATAGTTCGCACCAGCTTCCACCGGAAGAAGCAGCCTTCCGAGGGAGACATGCCGTAAATCATGCCGTCCGCCTTGGATGAGTGAAAGCCCATCAGCGCCTTCAGCGATTGGCCTTTGCGAGGGCCGATGTACGTGACTGCCTTCGCCACCTTTTTCTTGAAAAGAAGCTACGTGCGGTGCCAGCCAAGAAAGAACATTGACGATGGAGGTGACGTATTATGATGCTGACTCTTTCGTACATTACCACAAGTTCAAGTGACTTCCATTGGCATCAGAAATGACAGGTTGTTGTACTACATGGTGTGAGTTTCCAGCAAAGTTGTCTCCAACATTCTACGATTTCAGCTTTTGCAGAGACCCAAAAGGTTTGAACGATGCGACAGTGATACCTTTACCAACTACCGCAGATTCAATAGTTATAAATCGTATGCTACATGTGGCCTTGGCCCCGTATGTGAAAATTCAAACATGCACGCGGTTTCAAGTGATGGCATTTCCTGACAACGTGGCAGAGAAAATACGTACCGATTCCGTATAGGTGTTCCAAACTTGTACTACACCGGAAGCGTCTGCTAGCACGAGCTGCTCGTGAGCTAGATCCCACGCCACGGACGTAAAAAGGCTGTGGCCATCGCTCTCAATCGTCATGAAGGTGTTTCCCTGCCATCTCAGAGAAAGTCCAACGCCCATGACACACAGATGCGGTGGTGGAATGCGAGAAAGAAATTGCTTGTTAACCCCGTCTAACTCGTGCATACCGCGAGGTAAGGCGCCCCTACAACACTAGGGGGCGATTGCCACTACTCGAGGCATGCCGCCCGTACTCCTGGAGCGTCTCCTCTGTTACAGCAGTGTACCTCTGTATTAAAACAACGAGGGGCGCACACAGCTACGGGAGTTCTAGGAGAATAGCTTCTTCAGCGTACCTGTAGGTAGTCGAGAACTCGGCAAGCTCCGTCATTCCCCACGCTGAGAAGAAAGTTGTGTTCTGCAACAAGAACAAGCCCCGTAATGGCAAGGCTGTGCAGATGGGTCCACCTTCTGTGGAGAGTCACTTCATCATCTGCCAACCTGTTATCAGCGACCCGCCCGGAGCGTGGTGGGGGAACGTCATGCTATTGTAGTAGATTGTCCGCTATATCTAACCTGATACATTTACGTCCAGAGGAAGAACCGAAACGACCATGCTTTATCCACCAAGCAACCGCACGTTAAAGCCGATGGGTGACCCGGTGGAAGAACGAAATTGGAACATTGACAGCTAGCGGGAAGGATCTTGATTATACAAGGCAGCATATCGACTCTTGGATCAAACCGAAACCGAGCCAATGCATTCCCTATTCTCACTGGTTCATGGTGAGACTGTCGGAAGTTTTCCTTGCGTTGGCCAGGCGTTTCGCCGCAGATGTCGGAGCTCGTTGGAAAACAGATACCGTTCCGTTGCTATCGCCGCAGTAGAAAGTCCAGGTCTCCCCACCAGTAACACATGCTGCCGTCGGCCACACATGCGCGAAAGCTCCTGGTCGTCCTGCCCCTGCTCGTCGTGTTTCACCACGCACGATGTATATGTTTTCGCATTGAGAAGCCTAGTGGTGAGCACTCAATTGCGGCAGTATCCCGACCGGTGTGTCGAAGGAATTGATCGGGTGCTTGAGTGCAGCCATCGTTCTCTTGGTACATAGTACAGGATCTTTGCAAAGAACATCGCAGCTCACCGATTGACCGAGACATGCCTCGTCCCACTGCTGCAGGGTAGACGGATAAACACTTCACGCAGCAGAAGAAAGGAAAGCGCAAGAACTTTCGGCCCCGCTGCGGCCGCCATAGTCGTACACTCCCGTCTCGAGCTGTAGAGATTAGCGTTGTGTCTCCAGCAAACGCTAGGGCAGTCACTCCACCCCTGTGCTCGGCCATCGTCTGTAGGCAGGCTTCCTTGAACGGAAGACCAGCCCATGCATTCCACACCTTCCTTGTATGGTGCGATGGCGGATTGACATGAGGAGATCATATCGTACGTCGTCGGCGTAGAGAGCGCCTTTCGCAAGTTACCTGGTTTCGGCTGCGAGTGAGACCCCCCTTCCTCATTTGGGTTGTGGCTACTGCTGTCTGACCAACTTTGAGGTGCCTGGGTCTCGTGTCTGTCGAAATATGCAGCTGCAAGGCGCGACAACGCACCTTGATAGTATGGTCAGTTGATCCGCTGAACATCAGTGGCCCCATCAAGGAGCCGTAGGAGCCTTGACGGGTGTGCGTTAGGCAGGTGACGGCACCCCGGTGAGGTGAGGCAGTGACGAGGGGCTCCTCCACGCGGTCGTTCTTGTTCGCCCCGCCAAACATATTGCGGGCAACCATCCGCCAAAGCACAACTGCTCCGTTGCTCTGTAACACGGGGGCACAAGATGACAGGTACAAACAAGCACGCGATGATTCGAGACTACAGCAGCGTTAGACTAGTCTACAGCAGTATACACCATCTATGTACGCGACGGGGTCAGTGAACAAGGGCGGACCCCTAACACAGCGACGTATTATATCTGGATGCATGCAAGCCCCGAAGAACAACGGGGGAGGCATGTCTGTGATGCGGTCTCAGAAGAGTAAGAGTTATCAGCACAGGTATCTTGCAGATGCGCCACTGCAAAGTATGAGGCACTGCGGACAACAATTGGGAATCGCACAACATATAGACACTTTCACCCACCCTTCCTGCGAAGACAATATCATGGTCCGCCTCCACCCTCTCCGCCACGTCGAAGCAGGTGAAGGAGTGGTGAAAGCTGGCTTGCTTGGCCTCTTCCGTGCCTAGCGAGTACCTAGGCCGTGCAGTGTTGCGGGACCAGTGGCTGCTAGCCGCTCCCTCACCCGCGAGCGCTAAGACTTCGACTACCTCGAGATGCATCTTCCGCACGCGGGCAGGCGTCGATCGACGGAGGTATCTATCTACACAGCAGTTACTGCTGTAGAGTTGCTTTCAGGCTTCGATATTTCTCTCTTTTTCTCTGCCAGATGGCCTTGTCTCTGCTTGCGTTGTGAAGTACCAAGATTGAACCAAGGGGCTGTACCTCATTCTCTCCGGCCCGTGATGGTGAGTTCTGGTCTCAGTTGTTACCTCGCATAGCGCGCAGAGGGAGTGGAGGACTCCAGAATATCTGTCGTTGATTTCTATTGACTTGCGGACCCCTCGGGGACATTTTATTTGTGTGTACCTTAATAGCGTAAGTTAGCCTGCGACCACGGGAATCGACCGCGTTTCCTCGACAACAACTCTGGATCTGAAACCGATGGTTAAAGACCAAAAAGATAATGTACCAACCGTAGACGAACCAAACGAAGACTTGTCGCGCGGTTCGCGCTGGGAACCGAAAAAAGCAGAAGAAAAAAATGAAACAGTGGTCGGACCAGCCGACGAATCTCCGTAGATCGCTATTGGTGAAAGGTCATCCAAGGTTCCTAAGGGTTCAAACTTTTCAACTACTGTACCGCAGCTTATGCACGTGGCTCCTCTCCTCAACACCCTCCACGAACGTAAGGAGCAGGTTGAAGCGCCGCCGTCTCATGCTCTGGGATTGGCTGAGAGTTTGCCTCGGCGGCTACAGGAACCCGTACGCTTCAGCTGAAACGTGAGAGACTGAACTGACTGCAGGAAGACGCCGTGTCTCTCTGCCACACGACTATTTCTTACTTCCCGGCATGCTGCGTTATGTTCGGTGGTTGTTTCAGAGAAAATACACCGAACATGGCATTGGCCAGCGCCTGCCGAACAATCTAAACCTGTATGTTGATGTGATGCCTGCTGGGTGTATACCGTACTGGTGGACGCAGTTGGATGTGATTGTCAAAGTTCTGACACTTTGCCTCAAGATGACCAACGACCGGCGGAAATACTCCGTAGGAGTAAACATCTTCTTCGAAGGTCGACTTGTATGTGCATGCTCTGCTTCTGTGTGTATGCATACGAGGCCCCTCCGTTCAGATGTTATATGAAAATTCTATGCATAGGATATGGATGTTGGTTTACGGGCGTTCCGAGGATGGCGCGAGAAGACCTTCCGCGTTTAATCATGTGGCGGCCGGTAGTCCTCGTTACGAGTGGACAACGACACCGCGTGTAATATCGGGGCCGGCTTGGGTGGGCATTTTGCGGCGAGGTTATCCAAAGAGCCAGTGCCTTCAGCGGCAACTTCTGACCTAGAGCGCAGTAGCATCAATTCTGTGATCGTCGAATCCCTGTGGGTGCAACTTTTTCCGTTGGTTAATACCACGGATTCCATCTTTGCGTCAAAGCTATGTATCTGATGTGATGTGTGTGAGGTCGCGGAGAGTTTGTCGAGCAACGGGACAGATCAGCTCGCTCAGCAGGAGCGAACCATAGCGCAAAAAGACTATTTATATAGCGCCTTTTTTTACGGGAATGAAGGTACAGTAGTGGGCCCTATATAGTGCAGGGGTCTGTCGTGAGAATTTACCTGCACTATAGCAGGCACCTGCACTACTGAAAAGGGTGCCCTCGATAGTGCAGGTTCTGCNCACAACAGCATAACCCGTGCTGCGGAAAGTACCTGCAGTAGGCTGGGTCGTGCGCCCCCCGTGAATATGTGTTGCTT